TCTGGGCATAGTATGTAGCGAATAGAGTATCTAGTAGTGAGTTAGTGTGTTATCTTCTGCTTAGTGCCTTTTCTTGTATTATAGTGTGGTAGTCTTTTGTATAGCACGTAGTGTGTTCTCTTACTAATGTATCGTCTCGTAATAGTGTGTATTATAGTGTGTAAAGTGGTAGTGATAGCGAGTAGTAATGGCCTTAACTATACCTATTATAGTTAACTTAGTGTGTATAGTTCTTACCAATTTAGTGGTTTAAACATCGGATGAAATGAAAATGCTCGTATCCGACACTAATATACATGATATATAACTAAGAGATCAACGACAGTCGGAACGATAACAACTACCCTAAGCCCACAATCAAACAAGAACAGGAAATAAGGCGAGCTATCGGTCCTAAGTCCTTCAAGTCTTACTTATATAAATATATTAGTGTGGTTACATTTTATAAGAAAATTTATTTAAGAAAAATCTTGTCGAAAGTGAACATTTAAAAAGTTGTTTATTTATTCAAAATAGTTTTGAAAACGTAAAATCCTTTTATAAGGCGTAGTGGTAAATCACATGTGATTTGAACTACGAATAGTGAATCACATGTGATTAATTTCCATAAACATGTATAATTGACTTGTATCCCCCCCCCCCCTAAAACATATAAAAACAATTGAAAGGTTCATTAAAGGGGTATGAACTCACCTGTAGTGAGTGGTTCTGATGACAAAGTTGGATTTGATGCTAGGTGTCAAGTGGTGACTTGAGTACACACGCGAAGCCTAATTAGGATATAATTAGTGTTATGAACAACTAATTGATGATTTTGGGACCATCATAGGGACTAGTAAACACTTATAATGAAGTGTTATAATCATATATGATTGTATGAGGGTTTATAAGGCTATACAAGAGGGTGTATGGCCAAAATACACACTATATGTGTGTGTGTGGCCAGGTGTGCGGCCTAGTGTGCTGCCGGCACTTGTGTGCGGCCATGTGTGTGTGTGTGTGCGGCTGCACACAAGTGTGTGCGGCCGTACACACCTCTTATGAGTCCAAATGAAGTGTTTGCTCTTCACATTAAGGGGTTTTGAATGTGTGCTGCTCCCTCATGAAGGTGTGCGACCGTTCACCTTCAAGGGTCCATGAATATGATGAACATGATGAGTTCTAAGGCTTGGGATTCAAGTGTTTACCTCTAATAAGCTTGAAGATGTACTAGATCACAAATATAAGGTCTTCAAGGTGTTCTTGGTTCGAGATTTTAGAGAGAGAAAGTAGGGAGAGAGTAAGGAGTATCCAAATGAATGAATGAAGAAGGTACCCAACTATATATATGTTTGAGTGTGAGGCTGGAGGGTGTGTGGTTGGGTGTGCGGCCGCACACATGGGTGTGTGGCCGTTCACACAAAAGTGTGGCCGCACACACCTCTTTTGGTGTGTTTAATTCGATTTCATGATGCAAAACACTTTCCAACACCTCCTAAGACCCATAACTAGACTATATTGTGTCCAAACGCATTCGGAACCACAAGATTTCCAAAAGGGGTGATGAATTCAAGATTTAAAGACAATACGCGGACCAATTACATGGGATGAAAGTTTCGGGTTGTCACAGAGTTTAACCAGCAAGTTCAGAGTAGGCTTCAAACAGTTCAGAGTCGGCAGAAAAGTTATGCCGAAAGACGTCAATCAGCTCTTGAGTTCCAGGTGGGGGATATGGTTTTACTGAAGGTGTCACCTTGGAAGGGTGTCATCCGATTCAGGAAGAGGGGCAAGTTGGGCCCCACGTGTATCGTTCCTTTCAGGGTTTTGGCTTGGGTGAGCCAATTTGCATATCGCTTGGATCTTCCAGATGACCTGAGTCAGATTCATAGCGCGTTCCATGTCTCTCATTTGTGGAAGTGTTTAGTGGATGATTCTGTAGTGGTACCGTTGGAGGATATTCAGGTGGATGAATGTCTGGATTATAATGAGAGGCCAGTGGTAATTCTTGATCGGAAGACGAAAACCTTGAGGAACAAGGTTGTTGGGCTGGTGAAAGTGCAATGGCAGCATTGCAAGGGTTTGGAGTGGACTTGGAAACCGAAAGATGAGACGAGGGAGCACTATCTGAAATTATTTGGAGCAACGGACTTCGAGGATGAAGTATGATTCAAGTGGGAGGGGGGGGGATTGTAGCACTTGATTTGGTATGTCCATATTCAACCCTTTTTATTTTAAAGTATTGCATTTTGGTCCTTGTGGCTAGTATGCCTGGCGTACCATAGGGCACGCTTGGCATACTAGCAATGGACATTGATCTTTCCAGTGATTTTTCTATTTGCAGAAGGCACACTTATCGTATGCAACCCTTGGAGTTTGTCGGGACTGATTAGTAGAAATAGCAAGCACAACAGGAATGGAAGTAGGAATGGAGATTGCTTTAGACATTTTATCCGTATGAGACTTGATACGAGTTTCTTTAACAATAAGCTTATAAAAAAACAGAATCCACTGAGGGAAGTGGGGAACGATGAAGAATTGTTACATATAGGCCTTCAAATTCAGAATGCAATGTCATCAAAAACTGAACCAAACGTTGTTCTTCCCTCCTAGCAATATAAGGCTCAAAATCTGTTAACTCTTTATATTCAGTTGGATCCCAACTGATCCCATAAATCAGACATAGCAACATAAAAATATTGAATACTGATATGATTTTGCTAAAGGGCGCGAATGTCTTTCTCTAACTGATATTGTTTAGCAAAATTGGATTGAGAATACAGTCTCTCCAAATGGTTCCATGCTTCCTTTATTGTGTCATATTTAGCCAACTTCATACCAATAGAATGAGTAAGATAATTGTTAATCCAAATAATGACCTTAGAGTTATCATTCTCTCAAGTATCAACTAACAAATCGAAAATTTCAGCTTCAGGCACTGAAGGTTTGGCTTTAGTCCCAATGACATAGCCCCACATATTCTTCCCATGAAGAAAGCTCTGCATAACATAGCTCCAATAAGTGTAATTCTTTCCATCCAATCGAGTATTGATTGACTGAAGGGAAACATCTTTCCCAGTCATGATGACAATAGAAAAATAACCACAATAATTGACAAACAATCAGATATCAAGAACGACAAACCAGTGGAAGCAACCAATCCAGCAGCAAAAAAATTGAATAGAAAACCCTAGAATTCGAACAGCAACAGCAAACTAACAGCAATGACAAATGAACACTAACAAGCAAACGAACAACAACAGCAAATGGACGTCAAATGCATCTGTTACAGTAAACCCTCAAAAAAATTTGATCTACGCCACAAATGACTGCTACAAAAATTTTCGAACATATCAAACCTCCGCTCTGATACCATGATAATTGAGCCATATGATTATTGAGAGAGAAAAGTTACAAGTGTTCTAGATGAAAAGTACAAAAGTTGAGAACAAGAAAGATGAGAATAAATACTAGCTAAGACACCAAACCCTAATGGGCTAAAGGCTAAAAAGCACATAAACAAGTGGGCAAACTACATATAGGCTAACAACACTAACGCTATAATGTATTGCATATTTGTTGATTCAGTACCTTAACTTATTTTCATGCTTTTTGAGGGAATAAAGTTGTTGTCGACCTGCTTTTTTAATCACTACTATCTACTATAACAGGTTTTAAGTTGATATGGATTCCTTTTCAATTCCAACTCACCAACCAATGGTATGAACACATGGCCAACCTCATCATGGAGAAACTTTTAGCATGGTCAACATTTCCTATTTTGCAAAACCCAACAATCATGCAACGAAAAACAAAGTTATCTGGTTCAGATAGTTCACCAAACAACTTGAGTGCGTCATCCATCTTCAAACTTACTAGACTGGTAATATATGTGGCAAAAATCACATCCAATTTCAGGCCATAACTGAAGCTACTCTGTATCACCTAACAAAGAATTATGCCGATCGTCAACTATATAACTATGAATCATAAACTAGATCATCAAGAGGGAGAGTGGCAGATGCTCAAACATGAAATCCAAGGAGCGGGAAAACTTGTTAAGAAATGTTTGAAAGTAAAGTGGCATATCATAAAGAAGTTGCTACAATTCTTTCAAGTCGAACTTTAAGCATTCCAGAGTTGACACATTGGGGAGGCACTTTAAATGTCAACATTGTAAAGCTGAAAATGGACCGGTTACCTTCGGATTTAATGAAAGATAACTTACTAAGAACAGGTCGGGTCTGTAATCACAATGGTTCTCTATCGTCTTCATTCAGAACAAAATAATCGAGATGTGAAAACATGAAACAAGAAAGGTATGGTTGGTGTGTTCCCAGACTTCCGAGTGGAATTGTAGCATTTAACGAACTGTTGGAGAAGCTGAAGGCTGATGTGCAAAGATGACTTTGGTGAAAATGCTATGCCACGATGAATAGTACTAAGGTGATGAACCAGGTGTTAATGGTGGCTTGATTATGGAGTTATAAGGTGAGTTTAGGGTGGGGAAGAAGAAAAAGTATTGGGTTTATGTTGTTGTACATTCAAAGTTAATATGGGTTAAATGAAAATTGGTCAACACATATCTATGTGGCAAAGGGGTAACTGAGTGACAAAGGGGTAATTGAGTGACCTCTTTATTTTGTGCAAAGTGACTAATTAGAGCCAACAAAAATACTTTTATTCCCTCAAAGTACAAAAATAAATTAAATGAATGAATAGGCAATTTGTTGGGTAATATGTCATTTTCCCTATAAGAAAACAACACATATTCTCCAGGTGTTTGAAACATGACGCTGGAGCATCAACATAGATTTTGTTTTTTATTGGGTTCTTGTTGCTTTCTTCGGAACTGAAATTTTATAAGACAGAAACGACGAATGATGACACGGTTTGTTTGTAGGCGATCTTTGTACAAATTTAAAGGACAAATGTTCTGATCAATAATCAGATAATGAGAATGTCTTTTTGTTCAAAACTTTAGGATTAAATAACAACTCTTGATGCTTGTTTTTTCTGTGAAAATGGAGAACAACATACACAAGAAAATTAGAAGTCCACCCATTGAAGAGCTGACAAAGAGGATTCAAGATCTAGAAGACGCCCATGCTCACCTCAAACAGAAGATGTTCAAGTTCATGATCTCCGGTGACCGGAAAACTTCAAATTCAATATCTTCACGAAAATGGACTCAGCATTCACCTCTCGTCTTAACAGAAACTGATTATTTCAATATCCTACAGTCAATCGATCAGCCAATTCATATAACCAATCTGAAGCGTTGCATAATCTACAGGCAAGTTGTTTACACCTTCATACTATTTGAGGTAGAGGCTGATTGTTGTATGATATTAACCTAAATTTCTCTCCGGCTTTTGAGATTTATGCAGGAACCAAGCTTGGGAAAACTTGTATGGCTATAGTGCTGAGGAAATTCGTGGAAAAGGTTTTCTGGATCTTGTAGTAGAACCAAAGGATCTCCATATAGCTAATGATATCCTACAACAAATGTTAAAGGGTGAATGTTGGACAGGGGAGTTTCCTATTAGAAATAAGAGAGGAGAAAGGTTTGTTATCATCGGTTCCACTAAACCTTTACGTGATGAAAATGGCACGATTATAGGGATTATAAGTGTATCAGCTGCCCCACGTCCATATCAACAAATAAAGCTAAATGCTCCTATCGTAAATGAAACCAATACCTTGTTTTCAAAATCTATATGGAAAGGAAATGAACAAAGAGGTTGTTTTGATCCCTCAACTAGTCGTTGTTGCTGGCATTGGATACACAGTGATCAAGATAAGTATGGTCTGAGAATGAGGGCGAATGTAGAAAATCAACAATGGAAGGTAAACACTAATTGTGTTAGTCGTGATAACAAGGCTTTAAGTACTTGGTCTTTGTTTAATCACAGTTTTGATTGTGAAATCAAGTGGGAGGATTTGAGGATTAGAGAAGTGATTGGTCGAGGTATGTTAATGTTTTACAACACTTTCACGTCTTTTTTTTCTGCAAGTTTTTGATGTTTTACGTTTAAACGTACATTGTGGTAGGTTCATGTGGGATTCGATATCATGCAGTGTGGCAAGGATCTGTATGTTTCCATCTCTCCCTTGTTAATATATTTGATGTTAAAATTGTAGGTGTATCTCATGTAAGTTGATTAAACTCGAGCATGAATTATTAATATCACAGCCAATTCAACACTAGTTTCGGAACTAATTATGTCATCGTGTAACAAGAATTATAATTACTTGAATCATCAAAGATTCAAGTAACATCTCACGTAAATTGAAGGACCAATTATGTCATCATGGCTTACTATGTCATATAAATTATAATTATATCCCTAACAAATTAAATACATATGTGGTTTTACAATTACAGCCACATTATTGTACGTATATTCTAATAATGTATTTGTTCGTGTTATGCAGGATGTTGCTCTAAAGTTATTTTCCAAGGAGGCACACTCACATGATTTTGTAGTATCATTTATGCATGAGGTATTTTATATCTTGAAAAAGTTATATCATTTTCAGCCCTGCCTCCCAGAAAAAAAAAAATTATAATAAATTTGTAACTTTTGCACAATCTTTATAGATTTTCTTGATCCACAACTATTCATGCATATCGGTTTTCTCCTTTTCAAGTTATCTTTCATTCCAAATACATCACTTTGAGAGTCGATATCTCTCTCATCTTAACTTTGATATGTTCTTGTAGTATATTGTTACTAAAGCTCTTTCCAAGAAGAAAGCAACCCCATTAAAATATAATACAAATAAATAACAAATATCCAGATTTACACATGTCCAAAGTCGGTGAAAATCATATTTTTGTAGTCATGTTTTTCTAACAGTTTTTTCTTACAATTTGAAGGCATCTCTTATGAAAAGGCTTCGGCATCCAAATATTTTGCTCTTCATGGGTACAGTAGCATCACCTCAGCACATATGCATTGTAACCGAGTTTCTTCGCCGGTTAGTATCCGTTTTCCCCCTTCTCAAATACTTTCAATCATGTATATATGTTTGTGTATGAGAAGACAATATTGTAGATTTATTTCACACAACTAATGTTGGAATCTTATATATTTTATCTTGTCTAGTGCACATGCCTTTAATCTTATGCATACATATGACTTTGATGATTTTTATGTTCTTATAACTTTTGTGAAGTGGAAATTTGTTCAAGTTACTTCACCGAAAAAGAGCTAGATTGGATTGGAGACGCCGAATCCGTATGGCCATTGATATTGTAATCAATGTTTTCTCTCTAGCTACTTTATCAATAAAAACTTTCGCGTTTCAAGAAAAAAACATTCCATTAAATATATTGATATTATCTTCATCATTATATACTTTTTTATATAGGCACGAGGAATTAATTATCTTCATCATTGCCTCCCTCCCATCATCCACCGTGATCTGAATTCTTCAAAACTTCTTGTGGATAAGGATTGGACAGTTAAGGTGACACTTCGTTCGATTTAACTACCATATTTGTGTTCATATTCCGTCTGATGTTGTGCATTTTCTTCTCTTTTTTCACAAATAAAATGATCTTGTGTCACTTACAATTGAATAGGTTGGCGACTTTGGTCTATGTTGTACAAAGCATGAAACTTATAAGACCATAAAGGAAAGGATTGGAATGGTACTACATATATATATATATATATATATATATATATATATATATATATATATATATATATATATATATATATATATATATATATATATATATATATATATATATATATATATATATATATATATATATATATATATATATATCCTTCTTGATTAATACTTTTATTCCACTATAACTGATCAAAAGGAAAATGATCAAAACTGGTTATGTTTTATCTTCTGTGGGCCCATATATATAATTATTTCATGAGTTGACGATCTTTTGTCTTTCTTTCTTGTTAGCCTCAGCCTCAGTGGATGGCACCCGAAGTTCTTCGAAATGAGGAAGCAGATGAAAGGTAAATCTACTTGTTTGCATCCCTAACGATTGATCTATAAATCTATGATCAGTTTTTATATATTTTTAAAAATGTTTGTGGCTTTGTGTAGGTCAGATATATATACCTATGGTGTTGTACTATGTGAAATTACCACAGAGAAGATCCCTTGGGATGATCTCAACTCAATACAGGTTTTCTTCTTTCTAACATCATGTAAATGTGGAACCCATGATCACATCATATAAATTAATGAATACATTAAAAGATAAAACATTAAAGTTTGAACTAAATTGAGAGGATTTGTTTGTATACTAATAACAGTGTGTATATATATTATATTCAGGTGATGGAAGCTGTAGGAGTCATGAATCGAGGGTTAGATATTCCAAAAGATGTGGATCCACAATGGGCTTCTCTTATTCAAAGATGTTTGTGGAGGTTCATTCTTCATAATCAATTAAAATACCTTCGTTATTTAATAACAAATCCTTTAAGTTTTAAGATAATTCGTTTGAAAAAAAAAAAAAACAACAAGTTTCTTGTTTTCTTTTTTTCCTTCTTAGTGAACCACAGTTGAGGCCAACATTCAAAGAGATTCTAGAAGAGCTACACCAGTTGGACATTCGGTTCAAGTTCATGCCACCACTAAATGAGGACTCAAAGAGCAGTAAGGAATTGAAAATTATGTAAAACAGATGCATGATCTTGTTCTTTTTAGTTTTGAACTTCAAGGATTTCACTTGTGTTGAAACTTAGTTAATCTATGAATGTGGAAAATTATGTAAAACAGATGCATGACCTTGTTCTTTTTAGTTTTGTCATCAACGAGAATGATGACAAAAGATGGCTTTATTATTCATGATGTTGTGAAAGCGTACAAGAATAGAGTAAACAAAAAAACCGGAATGGGAGTATTATTTTGAAAGCGTACAACTTAAATGGGCAATCAACATGTTCTTTAAAACTTAAGAGCACCAACTTGATTACTTTGAGAACATTTGTTAAACACCTAGTGTGTGTACTTTGAAATCCATTCATAGAAACATTAGCGGTAAATCGGCTAGAACATGCAAAACGAAAATGAAGAAGTGTTTACATTTAGAGAAACTCAAAAAAAAAAAAAAAAAAATGCTTTATATTATTCACCCCCGATAAAATAGCACTTTCATTGCCAAAATCATTATTTTATGCATTATTTATTTTTGAAAAATTACCAATTATAGCATGGTATTCCATATTAAGGTTGTGTTTTGTGTGTCACATTTTAGTGTCACAACTAGTTTATTTTTCGAGTTTTTTTATATTGTTATGTTTGACAAACCAAAAAGTTAAATTATAAGCTATCTTTTTACAAAACAACCTAGACTAGTTTTTAGGAGCTTTTTTTAATTTTCCAAATATATTCCTTAATTAATTATAAAAACACATTCTCTTAAATGTCGTTATATGTTTTTCATTTAGCTTTTCAGTCGGTTTTATCAAACAATATTTTTAATAGCTAACTTTTCAACTAATACACCAAACACAACCTAAATAGTTTTCCAATGTATGGTAGATCCCATCATATAATTACAATTTCTAACCTTTTTCATGCTCATATTCAATAAATAAATCAAATTATGCAATTATATCAATATACCACAACAAAAAACCTAGTTATATACTTGGATCATTGCACAATGCTTAACATTAATCCAAGCTTACATCTCACGTGCACAAACACATTAAACTTCAAGAGGTTGACAATAAGTATATCAAAATAATCTCCAATCAACAATAAATAAGTGATGTATGCCTTCAATATTTCAAGATTTTAATGTCTAGGTTTGCAATGTTTTAACTTATATATTTTGTACCTTGCACATTTTCTTATGACATAAAAGACATTATCAACATAAGAAATATCACACATTTATACCTAACATAAATGTGTCGAGTAAATACATTCCTAAATATCATTTGGAATTTACTAACTCTTTAAAACACGTTCCCAATTCATGCAACCCACATGTATTATTTAAAATACATTCATACAAAACTCGTGAAACTATTAGTTTTGTTTTCTGTTTTCAAACTAATTTCTTAAAAATATATTTAAGATTTTCTAATCATGTACTTCTAGGTCGAAAGCATTTGACATGAAGAACTTTCATATGCTCACCTTTCTTATTCTTCTTGTGACTTGTATTGTCAAAGGTAAACTATTCAATAGCTTTTCATGTTAACTAACATGTGTGTGTGTATATGTGTGCATAAAACAACGATTTTTTGTTTGTATAAAGGTAGCACAATCGGGATCAAAGAGGCTAAATATGGATCTGGTTGTTATTCTGGTGATTATAACGATAAGTTTCAAATTTGTTGCAAACAGAATTTTGTAGTTAAGAGTTGTTATACTAAAATGGAAGATTGTAAAAAAAATTGTCCATACACTAACACTGCATAAATAAAAGTAAGTAAAATACTCTTTTGTGATCTATCTTTAGTGTAATCTAATTTCTCCCATGAGGTCACATCTTAATATATCAGCATCATGTTACAGTTTTCTATTCTTTTGTCACAAAACATCCATTTCAATTTCACAACATTTTAATTAGGAACATTTGGATTCAATTGCATAACATAAAAGTTGTGACACAATGTAACATAAACTAAATGATGTTTAACAAGATTTTAGAAATAATAAGACAGATGTTGAATTTAAAGATTACCCACATGAAGCAAGTGTCTTATTGCAGCAACTGCATCACCCTTGTGTTCCCTTAATGTTCTTTCAGCCACCTTTTTATCCATCTGCAATAACAAGTCATATGAGTAAAATATCCTTTTTTTTGCAAATAAATCATCACAAAAATCCAAGAAAACAAACACTAAACTTTCAATTGATTCTTTTTTTTTTCTTTCCAAAATCTGTCACTTCAGAGAACAATGGGACAGTTATACCTCTAGTTCACTTGCAATTATGTCAACTTCAGCAGCATTGATCTTTACAGCAGCCAACTCTTTCTCCCTTGAAAAAATCATAAAATAGCATCAATTGATATTAAGCATATATTTATAAGAAACATAAATAAAGTTTAGTGGTGTGATTATTAAGCTAGAGATGATAAAATTAATAATAATACTAAAGATGGATCATAATACCCATTAAGAATGTCATGAAGGACTACTGTATGAAAATAGACTTTTTGTTCTACAGTCAGGATTACCAATATGAATAGTCCCTCTGTTTGATGAAAATTAAAACAATCACTTTTGACAAATGACATTTATAAGGTTCTTGATGCTTCAAAATGTTGTTAATGATACACCAGATTTGGTTAGTAGCCCACATAACTATGTAATCAGTTAAATTCAGAAAGATAGATGAAGGGTATTGCTTTTCAAACTTATTTTCGCGTTTATAGATGCAAAAACATCTTATATCATCACACGATTGATAGAAGTATACATATGGTAATTGAACATGGATAGTTCAGTGATAAATAAACTTTCATCAGTGTGTTGATTGATAAAATTTGCATAAAAAGTAACATGCAGAAATAAATTTTGGGACACGGATAGCAAACCTCAATCTCATAGCATTCAAATCAGCTTCCTTTGATGCAGCGATCGAAGCCATAGCCTATTCAATACAAATTTTGAGCAATAAAACCTAAATAACCGATTCATACGATCAATCCATAATAAAACCAGACAATTAGTTAAATTTACACACAAACCTCTTGAACACGAGTCGAATCGAGCTGACGATCTTCGACATGGTCGGTAAGTTTGTCGAGTGCTTTGCTCTGTTGCTGTAAGTCCTTGGAGTCCTCTACTCTCTCAATCCCTTCGTCTCCTGCCTCCATAATTGTCTTCACTCCTTCGAATCACAAAGCTCTGCAAATGGCGAAATCGTTTGCCCTAAAAGTTTCTAGTTTTCGGGTTCTTTCGCATAAGCCATGGACGAACCCTTTGAAACCCATTTTAATAATGGGCCCAAACCCATTCTTATTTTTTGTTGTTATTTATATTTTAGGGTTAAAAACTTAAAATATTCATGACATGTAAAATAAAACTAAAATTCTTTAAATATTTTTAACCATAAATCAACATATAGGATCATTCATCTCATTCTTTATTATTCTGATTACTAGGTTACAACCCGGAGAAACCACAGATAAAATAGAAAAACACTATTAATTAGTTAAAATTAATAGATACATTTTGTATGAATATCATGATTTTGTAAAATACAATATAAACTTGAATAGAGTGGGAAAACACAATCAAATATGGAAATGACATTGCTATATGACAAATTAAAAATGACGACAATGTAATAAACATACATAAACACAAACACAATAAATTACAATATTCAATTAGTCATTATATGCTTTGTTTCCTTCATCATCCGGATTTAGCAAGTGAGGTTGGTTTAACATATTGAATATAGGTTGGTTGGCAAAAAATGGAATGTCGCTTCCTTAGTTCCTTGTGTGTGTGTATATGATTTTTTAGATTCATCAAATCATTTTAAATTGAAATAAAATTGATCGTTATTTAATCACTTTCATCCTGGTCGGTTCGAACCGTGTTTTTTGAAACATTGTATCATTCTTTATTTAATCACAACGCGTTTTAAAGCCGTGAGGGCAGCAGATCCCATAAGAACTCTGCAGTTAAGCGTGCTCGGGCGGGAGTAGTACCGGGATGGGTGATCCCCTGGGAAGTCCTCGTGCCGAGTGGCCCAAAGCGGACAATATTGTGATACGTGCCAGAGGGGGATGTTACAAATGGTATCAGAGCTAGGGCATGGGTCGATGTGTTCGACAGGGACGTCGAACCCTGTAATGGGGGGTGAAGGTGGGTTGCACCTGATCCCACATCGGCTAGGAAGGAGAACGAAACATTTCCTTATAAAGGGGTGTGGATACCTTCCTTGTCACAACGCGTTTTAAAGCCGTGAGGGCAGCAGATCCCATAAGAACTCTGCAGTTAAGCGTGCTCGGGCGGGAGTAGTACCGGGATGGGTGACCCCCTGGGAAGTCCTCGTGCCGAGTGGCCCAAAGCGGACAATATTGTGATACGTGCCAGAGGGGGATGTTACAAATGGTATCAGAGCTAGGGCACGGGTCGATGTGTTCGATGGGGACGTCGAACCCTATAATGGGTGCCAGAGGGGGATGTTACAGTTTAACATATTGAATATAGGTTGGTTGGCAAAAAATGGAATGTCGCTTCCTTAGTTCCTTGTGTGTGTGTATATGATTTTTTAGATTCATCAAATCATTTTAAATTGAAATAAAATTGATCGTTATTTAATCACTTTCATCCTGGTCGGTTCGAACCGTGTTTTTTGAAACATTGTATCATTCTTTATTTAATAAATTGAACATTAGATGATAAATAAGTAGATTGAGTTTTAATCATCTTTAATTGGATGCCATGCATATTGCTAACTTGAATTTGAATTAACTTTTTTTTTTCAAGAATTAAGGTATTTGACCAAATTTATAACAAACCTATTCATAATGTCAAAGTTTCTTGAATTATTACATCATTTGACTAAATATTGAAACTTTCAGAGCATTCAATGACGAAGAGACCACACGAGTGATGTGATTTTAGTAGCAAGTGGAACCATGGAAATAAACTTGTCTTTCATGTTCCATATCTTGATCTCCTATTACTTAATGCAGCGTATAAAAGGTCGAACGAAAATATAATAGCAAGAAGTTATAAAAACATAAGATATGTCGTGAATGGATTTCTTAAAATTACCTTCATGGACCAATTGGGGTTATGGCAACATATCACTTAGAGTACTCCATCCATCAATGGAGACCTAATGAAAAAGATACAGATTTGATGCAACATAATAAGAAAGCCTTTGCATTAGAGCATAATATTGCCAAAAAATTTCTTTTGAAACTAATAAAACATCAAATGTATCATTTTCTTTTGAAACTAATAAAACATCAAATGTATCTGTCAAGATGTATCTAGCAATTGATCAATCTTTATATTTCAATAAAACCCTCTTTATGTCTTCTTCCATCCACATCTCTTTCTAAAAAAATCATTGCAGGTTAAAAGATCCCTAAAAATAGAACAAATTTGAATATAATAAACAAACTTTGAAAAAATTATGCTGCTCTCAAGGTTTTATTAATAATACAAGGTTTAGCTTTGTCTCTAACTTGAAAGGGAAATACAGGAAAAATATTAAAGTGATTAATCAAAACAATATTACCTAAGCAAAATCTCATAATTTGAAGAAAAAAAATCATCACTTTGTAAGTTTCTACTCAAACAGCTAAGGGTTTACTATAGAAGAAAATAGGAAAAAGATACTGATATATACATGAACATGGAAAATGTAATTTACAAAAATGAAATTACTACCTTTCCAAATTTCCCATTTGAAAGTGAAAGTGCAACATTAATCGTTACAATAGTCAATCTCACGTTCATCTAAGAGCATGAAGTTCTTGACCATATGAACCTCTATGTTGTGAATTTAAATCGTTGACCTAATTAATAAACTACTATTCATTAACATTATCTATGCACAAAAGGGATTCTAGATAATTCAAAAATAAACACAAATTAATCTAAAATTGAATTGTAAAACAGACAAAATCACAAAAAAAATAAAAAAAATCGATACATTTTACTTGATTAAAACTGGGAAAATAGTTAAGAAATCAACATCTATAGATTGAGTCCCCACAAACCTTTGCAAAAAAAATTATAAATATATATAGAATAATTTGCAAAGACTAATTTCCATATCTTGATTCCAAAATTACATCCATCACTCAATCAAGCAAATGATCGAATAGTTGGTAGGCAAATGAAAATCCAAAATCAACTACATAAGGTAAGAAAATTGATGCAATTGAAGGAACATGAAGTAACAAACATAAAACAGGAAGAAAAAACGACCAGAAAAAATAATACATATCTTTTAGAGCCTTTTTTTTTTCAGTTTTTTGAATGAGGGCAAAATGGTATTAGTTATCAATTTTTTTTTTAAAAAGGGTAAAAACATGAATTTGATGTTCTAACTTGTAAACGGCTATTTAAGAAGGTGGCAGCGTCTTTAGTGGGTTACCCAATGTATCTTCGATCATTGTTGGGTTGTGTTCCTTTCCAATTCCACTGGTCCTAATCTCTTTGCATGTTTTGACCCACACAAAATTGATACACAAATCATTATCCGATATTTGGAAATATTTAAATCATTAACATTCACTAATAAATATACTAACCTTTATCTTACGTACTAAATGAATGATAGCTGTAACGGTTGTAGATCCGGACTAGTCAATTTAAAGATAATAGAGGTCGAAAACGAATTTTCGACAAAAGATTATTTAGAATAAATAATCTAAACCAAGTTGTAGAATATGTCTCAATGGTTCCATACATATAAAAAGCGCCGAAATCCGAGTTATAACAAAGAAGTTATGACTCGTCGAAGTTTCGCGACGGAACCGGCACGACACCGGGAAGATGTAAATAGTGAATTTATGATAGAGCGACTTTTAGCCTTAATAATCTAAATGAAAGTCGTAGAATATGTTAACCTGAGAGCGTCCATAAAAAGAACACCCAAATCTAACTTCGTATGAGGAAGTTATGATTTTTCGAAGTTTCGGCTTAGCGGTGTACAGCCCGAAGTTCAAGTATTAGATCGAGTGGTTTTTAGCCGACACAACCTAAACGAGAATCGAATATCTCGTTATTAGTAGTGTAACGATAAAAAGATAGATGAGAATGGACATCAGATGAAGAAGTTATGAGATTTTAACGGACCAATTTTGTCCCGGCTTGTTAAAAATATAACTTTAAAAATAAAGTCAAAATTAGCTGACGAAGTCTAAATGAAAGTTGTAGAGTACGTCTCCACCTACGTGTGGTTATAAATAACGTCAAAAACGGAGTTTGTATGAACAAGTTACAAATTATAATTGCATATTTACGTATTAAAATAAAGTATAAATCTTATATACGTACACACACACACACACACACACACACACATATATATATATATATATATATATATATATATCTCTCATTAGAAAGGTATCGACGATACGGTCATTATAAGACTAATGTTGAGTTCTTTCGACATTAGTTTAGTACAAATATCGTTAAATTTATTTAAAATAGTATTATAAATGGGTGTTTTGTTGTTTATATAACTATAAAGTCATTAAGTAATTATGGAGGGTAGTTTTTGAAAATTCAATTAGTATAAATAAGGGTCTCTAGCTCTCATATTTCTTGTACCATTCTCTTGATTCAATAGTCTTTCTTTCCTTATCCCCCGAGCATTTCGGTCCCTCGTGATTCGACTTCTTTTTATGTAGTTTTTAGTATAGTAAGGTGAGCGCTGAAGTGCTGCACGAATCTTTCTTAGAAAGATTCAGCGATGAAGTTTTGCCCCTGCAGAGCCCGACTCCTAGCTAAAATCTCCTTGTAAGTAAGTTATTCTTACCCTAGTTTAATGTAGCTTATATTTAAAATTAATATTGTTATTATGAACTTATAATAAATATTTGAGCTATTATTATGACTTATATAAGTGTCGTTATAATATCTTGTTAACTACTCGCGGTACAGGGAATCTGGTTTAAAGGGCCGCATAGGGTTGTTGGATTTCAGAAGTGCTATGCGCCAAAATGGTCCTGCCCTCCGGTGCTTTATGTCTGACCCCTGTCTGTACACAGTGGTTGGAAAGTATTGTTTAAACGTTTATAATAATAATAATAATAATAATAATAATAATAATAATAATAATAATAATAATAATAATAATAATAATAGTAATAATAATAGTAATAATAATAATAATAATAATAATAATAATAATAATAATTAGTCACGATAAATATTAGACTAAAATCTAGTGGTAATAATACTATGTTTCGTCGAATGAAATTATTTTAAAGTAAACGAAGCGTTGTCCGAGTACCGAATCACCATATTCTTAAGTGAGTGCATAGTTACTTTCATCTTACACATAGATATGAAGTATTTTATATAAACTACGTGCTATGTGTGCATATTATCCGAATACTTGCTATCTATGCTGGATGAACGTTTTTTTTATACATGTTTAAATGATTTGAACTGTATACGTATTTTAAATATACAAGTATGTTGGGTATGAGATGGGTAGATGAATGATGAGAGATAAAAGATGATGTGAGTAAACATTGACAGCTATAGACTTAGTGCCTAACAAATAACATCGACGGCTATGGACTTAGTGCCTATTGGATAAACACCGGTAGCTATGGAGGTAGTACCTATTAGGAATTGGTAGCTATAGACTTAGTACCTATTAGATAAACCCTGGTAGCTATGGATTTAGTACCTAACAGCTATGGAATTAGTGCTTTACGAACGAGCATTGACATCTATGGATTTAGTACCAGTCCTATAACTCTGGAAGCAAAGGACTTAAGAATGAACGAATGCGGGATAGATGACTCTTAGGATAGATCCTTAAGAGTAAAGAAGATAATGGGGATGGGTAATTGGGTCGATTGTTTGATTCTTTAAACATAATAATTATATTATTGTGGGTTGAAAACCATATGTACTCACCAGGTTTCCCAACCTGACCCACTCAGTTTATTTATATTACAGGTGTTGAGATGAAGTCACATTACACTGAGAGATTAAAGAGATGTAGATCACTAGTGTAAATAAATGTAAGTTCTGTTTATGCTTATGTTTCTGTATTGACAATGACATCCTAAATGTTTTAAAACGAATTAAAAATATTTTTTTTCGAAAATGCTTTGATAACGTATTTATTATGTTTTACTGGGAACAAATTCCGCAACATTTTTATTAAAAGAGGTGCTCTGATTTTTATAAAGCATAAACAAAATCAATCTTTTCTGGCCGTGAAAATGGGGATGTCACAATAGCTCTATCAGTATTGGTGCTTTAATGACAACACCATTTGAACTAACTACATGAAACTGGAACGAAGGAGGTGTAATCTGTAATTGATCATATACATATATTAAAATATCCATTAAAGTGAAAAGTAATCCCCAAATCCATAAAACATTGTCAAAACATAACTGTAATATTACATGGAGCATAAATGAGGACTCCATCATTTAATCTTGGAAGATGTTACTGATCATTTCCTGTCTGTTTGAACAAAAGCTCATATCAACATCTTAAAATTCGCTATAAAATTCAAGTAAAAAAATGATAGAAAACAATAACTACTTTCTAGATCTAAACAACACAATTTTTTTAGAAGTTTACACACTTTTATTAAACAAACATAGAAACATAAAACATGTTTGGTTTCATTAATTATTATATACTTTAAACAGTTGGTCAAATAGATTAAAATTTTATCAACTATTTAACTATATTCAGCAATAACACCATAACTGAAATTAGAAATCCTCATCACATAAGAACTACAAGAATGCACTGAATCCTCCCAAGATCCCAAAACGAAGTGCAAATGCAATCGTTGTTGATCCTAACTGAATCCTTGTTTATTGATTTATTTCTCGATTGGCTTTTTTGCCTGCTATCCAAGCCAATTGAGCAATGGCATATGCAAGAGATAACAACCAATTCCCTACAATAGAGTAAAATAAATCAATATTTTTTAGAAAACACGAACATGCACTATTAGAAAAGAGAATACCAGCAACAAAATCGTTGAAAGATAGTCATCAACTATAACATATTTATAGAAAATGTTAGTCATTGAGGCATTTTGTCAAACAGTTGGTGTTTATGGAAACTAAAAAATCCAAAAATTATGTTCAATCCAATAAATAAAATACATGAAAATTAAGGGTCAAATACATGAAAGACACACAGAGAACACCAGATAAAAAAAACATAAAGCACCAAAACTTTTGTACATTAATTACCTTTTGTTTCGATATTACAAAACCCAAGAACATTGTAAATGTTTTGGATGAAAGGCTCACATCTGCAACTTGGAAATCAATCGAAGGGTATGAGATGTTATCATGGATGAAATCTGAAACTTCAAAAATTATTTTGATCTAATTCTAATTCAAACTCTCGAATTTCATCTTACAAACACTATTAGGGTTCTGATGATCCTTATATGCATTCTAATTCAGAATCACTTACATAAAGACTGAATTTTTGAACTTCAAAGCTACAACTTGATTCTGAAAAGCATACACAACAATTATAACCAAGCAAAATTGACAGATACAATAGTGTAATAAAGGAATACATTGATAGCAGAAGAGCTAGAGGACGTGAAACCAAACCAAGCAACGTACCAGACATCATTAATGTTTGCGATTCAACGAAGCTCAAGAGCTAGAAATGAAAACAGAGATCTAGAAGAAGAAGTTGATTGAAGAGTTTGAATCAAATGAAGAGGAGACAAAATCAGTATACACAAATTTGTTTGGTGTAGTTCCTGATTTATTGCTTTCAGTTAGGAATGTTGAGCGTTGATTTTGGAATAGATTAACAATCATATTTGCTCTGATCTTCCGTTTGAAAACCAAAATCTTGGTGAAATGGTCTAGGGGTATATTTGGTAGGGATTCGATTTGACTAAATCAGGAGATATATTTTAGCCGAAATGAAAGAATGATTATGGAAACTATTCAATATCATATGTAATACAACTCACAAGAAGTAGGGGCAATTTTGGAAATTCAGTTAGATGATAGTTAGATGATAGGAGCGGAAAAAATGATTGGGGGAGACTAAGAGAATATCACGTGGCAAAAATGTACTTATTTATTAGATTAGGGGATTTAAATTGCAAAAATCACAAGCTCAATAATATTGGTTAATGATAACCTATAAGCCATTATTTACAAAATAATTACAATTGTTTCATTCCTTTATGCCATGTCTTATAGAAGGAAGAAACTCAAAACACACATAACCTAATAATTATAGTACAAACAACCTAAAACTTCATTGTACAAGTTTTTAATACATGTGGATGCAGCAACCTTGAAAGCTTATGTAGAATATCCTACAAACAACCACTTCCTACCATCGATAAATTTTATAGAAAGGAATGGTGCAGCTTCTTCATCACTCAATTTCTTCAACCATTGAACCCGCTCACTTGTACCAGCTCCGGGTCCATGGCATTTGTATTCACAATGGCATAGATTTCTGTAAAAATAATGAAAAAATTAAGAAATAACTAATAGGTAAAACCTGGTTAATATATATAAGGATGTTGTTAAATTGACACCCCTTAAACGCCCTACGAACACTTTTATTAAAAATCAACTTATAATAGACTATTTATAATTTACTTTATCAAAAAATTAATGAAATTCAACCAATAAAAAAACCTTAAAAATCAAATAGGATGTCTAATTGTGATTTATTTAATGGTAGATTTTTTTTTTAAATTGTATTTATTGCAATGAAATTATAGAAAATAATGAAATAACTCATTCCGAGGAAATGGAAAAACACTTTTGTGTGAAATGAAATTGATCATTCCATAAAGAAATAACTTTCATTCTCATTATATTTTTTATTCCATCATATGATAAATTAAATAAATAAAAAGTACTATAATTCGTTTTTGCTTACATCAATTTTTTAAACTTTTATTATTTTTTATATGCAATTTTATTTTGTAGAATAAACAAGCATGTTGTTTTTAATAGTTGAGATTTAATAATTTTTTATTGTAATAAATAAAAGTTCATTACTTATAAAAAAATAATGTACAGAATATAATTAAAATCATATCTTCAAATTCTATGAGACCAACATACATTTACCTTATGGCCATTTTAGTGGTTTCATTTTATATTTTTATTCAATCAAAATTATTTAGTTTTATGATATTATCATTGAAAATTAAGATCACTGAAAATACTGAATTGTATAAAAGATAAAAGGGAAGAGGGGAAAGATAGAGGAAGCTTACTCGGTACTACCGTGATGGTTCCAATCACTCCATCCTTCGGGTCTTATAGTCTTAGACAAGTAAGTCTTTGCAAAAACTACTCGTGAATGGGTACCTCTAGGTCTACCTAAGAAAGCATGTCCAGTGCCAAAAACTCTCCCACCAACGAAAACAAATCCAGTATTTTCATCTAGACCTGATCGTGTATGGGCCGTCACTGACCCTTGAATCTCCATTCGTCTATCATTAATCACAAAAATCTCACATTCCTGCACGAGTACCATAAACAATAACAATTCATTTGGAAGGGTACAGTTGTAGGGTCTATATTTTATAATATATTTAATTAAAATAGAAAACTTACATGAAATATGGATCGACCGCGACCGAAAATAATATCGACCGCACCCTGGATGTAGCAATGATCGTAGTAATGTCTACCTTTGTTATCAAGAAGAGTGTTATGGGAACTATAGAATCCACAACTATAGAATGCAACCTTGTCCGCACCCACATATGCTGCGACGGTTTGGTTATGTGAGGTGTTAGCGATCCCTGTGGGCGCATCATTCTGTCGAAAACGTGTGCGTTAGAAGGTTGTACTTTATGCATTGTTGTGTTGTAATTGGTGAATTAAAAACTTGTACCTTAAAGCTAATACCATAGGCAACGAAATTAGGAGCTTCAACTTTGAAAGTGGAAGATTGATAGTTGTTTTCAGAGCTTTCTGCCCAAACTATGACTGTTTTAGTGCTCCCACTTCCCCTCAAATAAATGTGTGGTTTTTCCCTTGGGATTATTACTTTTTCCCTACATTATAACCCCATTATGATTAGATAATCATGTACATAATTTTGAGGTGGCAAAAACTTTGTGTTCGGGTTGGTACGTTGATGGACCATAGGTGTTAAACACGGACATAGTTCATATAATTATTTGTGTCGTCCTATTCAATTCTAACTCGGATTAACTATAAACGGGTCAACTTACGTAACCCGTTTATTTAACTATATGGGTTCGTGGGTTGGATTCAGGTTTTCAGTGGGTCAGAATAGGGTTTGTGGGTTCAGGAAAAAAATGTCTAAATATCATATATTTACTTATTAGTTCTTATTATTTTCTTTATTTAATAAATATATTTTTATTTATTTAAATATAATAAAATAAATGGGTTTACGGGTCAAGCCGTGAAATTATTTGCAAACCCGAACACAATCCATATAATAAACGGATTCGTAGGTTGACGGTTAGAAAAACTCAACCCAAATCCGTTTATCTTCATATCAGGTTTGTATCGTGTTGAGAATTATCACCCCTATAAAAACATGTGGGATTCCTTTTGTAATCCTATACAGTATAAATATAGTTTTGTAAAAATTTATTGTTATAATAATAACCTAATTCTGTTTTTTTTTTTTAAGTTAGAAGATTGCAAGTATTGAATAATATACTTAAAGAGACTAACTCGTTTAACTCATTTTTTCAGCTATTTTTTATGTTAAATTACTAATTACTAGTTAGACATGTCATAGATAAATCCAAATCCAAATCGATCAATATTCACTTAATGATTTATTCGAAAACGATGCCTCTAATAGACATTATGTACGCCTAAATAGACTAATTGCTTGTTTAGCCACATATAATAATATGCCTCTAATAAACATTAATGTACGCTTAAATAGACTAATTGCTTATCTGCCGTTCTAAAAAAATTAAAATTACATAAACATCTATAATGCATGTTGTAAAATATAATGTTTAACATGATAATCGATATAGTTATATTATATATATTGATATGGAAAACGAAATATAAATAAGAAATAGTAAGAAATAACTTAGAAAACTTTATTAAAATATAAATCATCACCTGTAAATTCCTTTTTTGACATGGATGACAACCCAATCTTGATTATTATCAGGAACAGAATCAATGGCACCTTGTATCGACCTATAATTTTCTGGTCCATTAATGTCAACGATGAAGGTTCGATTTGGTAAGATTTGTGAGGTCAAAAAAGACGCATCTACCCCTTGTGGCCTTAGCCTGAGAATACCTTTGCCATCGACACCATCTAGAAAAACCGTAAATGTGATAAATGTGAGTACGTATAGAACTATAATTGTTTTAAAAGGATTATACTGTAATCGAAACATAGTGAACAAAATATAGAAAATTGTGGGATAAAAGAAAGAAATTGAAGTAAGAAAATGTTTGGTTTCTTAGGGTTCTTCTGGTTTTGAAGGCGGGGTTTTAAATTTTGTAGGGTGTTAAGAAGGGTAATTTTCTCCTCCAGTAATTCGTGTGTGGTGAATATCCTGATATTGATTTTTTTTATGTTCTTTTGGTTTTAAGATTTATGTGTGGTTAAGGAATCTTTTGTTTTTAAGGTTTTATATTTTGTTCTTTTGTTTTTAAGGGCTATCATAATCATATATAGATGCCATGATATTGTAAATATACGACAAAAAAGTATATAAGTATTTAATGAATGGAACACATGCTTGGGATGAAAGTGGGTTCAAACCCGGACCGTTGGACCCGGATCCGGAATTGACGGATTATAAGACCCGATAACCGGACCGGTATATAGGAACCGGTTCCGATTCGGTTCCGGATATCAGACCGGATAAAATGGGTATGAAACCGGTTGGAACCGGAATTTGAACAATGGAACCGGAAACCCAAGATTGGAACCGGAATTTTGGAACCCGAAACCTTTAAATTTGGCAAAATTTTTGTTCAAAGTGTTCATTTAGTGATGATTTCCATAATGAGTCGTTATAATTGTATTTCATGTGTTTTACTTCATGATAGTATGATACTATAAGTTCCATAAGTAGTAGCCACTAATTTAAATTGTAAGGACCATTTTTGTGTTTTTTGGCTTTTTGTCATGCATCTTTTTAAATTTCCCACTAATTCATCGGCACCAATAAAATGTATTCGTTGAGATCAAGTAATACATGGGTATGCTTAAATTTTCCACTAATTCCCACTTTTATAATGTTAACTGTTAAGCTTATAAAGAAAAAAGAAACATATGTAAAAATGACATTATGAAGAAAATACGTAAAACATCCAAAATTAGTTTCCTAACATCATAGCATTTAAATATGTTAAGCCATCAATAGATGGGTATGTTTATATTTCAATTTTGAGCGATCAGCTAAGTGAATGACACCAGGTTACACCACCAGGCGATAAACAGGGGATAACTTCAATTAACAAACTGGGGAAAACAAAGGATAAACAAAAAAACCATGTTTTAAAACCCGGGTCGACCCGGCCGGTTCAACCGGTTGGACCGTGACCCGGGGTAGAAGGCGGGTCAAATTAGACCGGTTTTTTGTAAAAATACGAACCGGATCGAACCGGCCGGGTTTCCCCTAAACCGCGGTTCGACCGCTTATGTTGAACCGGTTAAACCGGTTTGACCCGTTTCAATAGAGTTTGGATGATTTGATACAAGTAGCGAACGCCAAAACAACGAGCCGTTTGCGGTTTCTTCAATGTTTAAACTTTGTGGACATCAAATTATTGGTTTTATATGTTTATGCATTATGCATGAAAGTAAAAATATATAGAAATAGAAAAAGACCATAAACCGGGTTGACCCGGCGGTTCAACCGGTTGAACCGGTTGACCCGTGAACCGGTCATCACACCGGATCAACTAAAAACCCGGGTTTTAAAACATTGCAAAAAAATACTTAGAGCCTAAGTATTATTGATTGAAAACATTTCCTGGGCTACATAAAAATACCACGCGAAGGGTCCATTTATACTAAACACAAAACAATCATAGTAAAAGACACAAAAAGTGGAATAAAAACTATTAAATAAGAAAACTTCCAAAAATACCCATGCTCTTATTTGCAATTTCTACACATTCATTCATATGTTTTAAATCCCTTTGATGATTTACATGTTTTAGCTTAACCTCTACTGCAAAACAAAATGCTAAACATCCAAAACCAAAATATGGCAGCTTTCTCGAAAAAACCCCTAGGACATAATCCCTATTGTTTGTATATCCAACATTTCCAAGATTTTGTTATTGATCACCTGTCTCGTAATAGGAATGGAATCAATCAATGAGAGACAATAATGGAATCCCACACTATTCTAATTTATGTATTAGTCAAAGAATGTGATAATCAAGATGTAATATGTGTATAAACATTGACATTCATGAATTATCACATCTAATTTGAAATTATCATACCGCCATGAAGTAGTATTATTAATGGAAGAAATCAATTATAAAAGCAAGAAATATCTTCATGAGAAAGCACAGACATAAAGCTTTACCTAGATTAACAATTTTGATTTAATCATTATGTTTGTTTTGTGTTGTGTTTTTAAGGAGTATTATAGAATAAAAGATGTACCACACAACAATGTTGTACTTCATAGCTTTAATCATGGTCCATGAGATAAACTTTTAACTATAATTTTTTTTGTTCATTCCAAGTTTTATGCTTCTATTTATAATCACATTTTATAGATTATAATGGGACATCATTTATCCAACCACATATTATAATAATTCATGTACTATATATATATATATATATATATATATATATATATATATATATATATATATATATATATATATATATATATATATATATATATATATATATATAATGGTTATGCTATTTTGCGACAAAGTGTAGTAAACACAACACTACTTGTGACACATTATTATACAAAGTATTTGTTTCAAGCTATATTGTAACACCAGTTCTAGGTATGTACTTCTTTGGGTTCATAATAATTAAGGTTTCAAATATGGAATAATAGGTGTTGAGGACGTGGTGGTGAAGACACCACGACATGGTTTCACACGATAAGAAACGTGCCATCTTTTTGACACCACAACGTGGCAAGGTTCTATCCTCGACGTGGCAGCGACCAATATGCAAAACCTTAATTTTCTGGGTTTAGAATCTTGTTTAAGTAAATGTGATGGCTAGGATTTGCTCATCCTCAACCTTCATCACTCCCTCTTGACCTAGAACGAATCTTATCCCCCTTGTTAATATCTTGAAGCTTTTTGTAGTGTTTGAAGGTTTGTATCGATCGCACGAAAGTAAAGCTTAATCTAAGAAAATAAAGAACAGACATTAAATGACATAGAGAGTTCTCCACATTGTTCTTTCACCATGAAAGGGTTTTGTCTACACCAAGAAGACGGGTTGTCACAAAGACAATTATGACATTAAGTCGTGTTCTATAAAATTAGGGTTTACCTAATGTTGTGTGTGTGTGTGTATACACACACACACACACACTAATCTATACAAGTATATCCTTTAATTAAAGGGATTGCGACTAATCTATACTAAGAACCGATCTTATCACAAAGATACAGGATCTGCGATCTATTCTATACTTATCTATATCATTACCTAATATACAAAAGATTACATGGAATAACAACGTTATACGCTAACATTGATAAGCTTGATAAGTTGGCATTGTCGATGTTGTAGACGCTGACCCTGACAGATAGTGTAGAGTGTTTGACTCATCAGATCATAAGGTGTGCCTTACAATCTCCCCTTATCTGATGATGTCAAAACTAATCTTCAATGAATTTTTTAGCTTGTGGTCCCTTTGATAATAAGAATGAATTTTTAACTCTTCAACTATAATGAATGCTCCTCCTGAGAATAAGAATGACTTCCTATTTTTTGATTTTCAAGTAGTTAAGACAGCTGATCCAACTCGGTTATGAATTGCAGTGGACGGACGAAGAAATGTTGAGCTAAGGAGGAATATGAGCAGAGAATGTTTAAATCAGCTTAACTCCCCCCTTAGATTATGCTTGGTTTAACATCCAATAGGTTCTTCAGCATAGGAAAGATTATTCCTTTTTGACATAAGCAGAAGAACAAAACTAGAGGAGAATATCAGTGATGCAGCTTTGTAGTCTAGCATAGGATTGTGATGTCTACTGATAGTGTGGGTTTAAACTATTATTCATTGACATAGTATTGCGAGATCTTATCAGCGTATGGTTTCATACGTTGAATCATAAATCACTTTTATTAGAAGAAAAATGGCAAGATTAGATAGGTGCGTGTAATATATCACGGACAATGATATACTCATCGACACAAATTTGTCAAGATCTCATTAGCGTATGGTACATTACAATGAATCATAAAACTTTAAATAAGAATATAAGGGCAAGAATGGATTGGTGTGTGTGATAGCCTACGGCACATAGTCTAACCATCGACACGGACTTTCGAACTTTTATCAATGTGTGGTTTTACACAATGAATCATTAAGTTCTATATTAGAAGAACCGTGGAGATAATGGATTGTTTTAGTCACGTTGAGGTGAAATCAACATGAATCATTAACAGTATAACTCATCAACAAGAAGTGGTTTAAACTTTCGTATCATAGAGTAAGTTGAGATCTAGAATCAAAGATTCACCATTAATTCATAATGGTACCATGTCATACCTCACACTAGGAGGTCAGGGACATGAACAACCCTTTGTCATTTAAGGACCAGGCAAGTATCTCTTACGCTGATGACTATGAAATCAGGGTAAGCCATTGGGTTTTGCTCAATTTTTCAGCAGAACATGAGACTTAGACATACGGAAAGCATGCTTCTAGGGACAGGGTTAGGTGAGAGATGATTAACCAAGAAGATAAACAACCAAGCCTTATAATAATTTTATTGATTAGGACCAAACGATCTCACTTTGAAAGTTTAGATAATGCTAGACAATCAGGGTGAGTGGGTGACTCAATGTTCTCAGCAAATGGTCTCGTTGATGATAACTTAGAGAGATTTAGTCACATACAACAACATGCTTATAGGGATGATGATGTGTTAACAGTTGCATACTAGGATTACAGTCACAACCATCAGATTCCTTTAAAAAATGGTACAAAAGAATAAACAATGTAAGAATGCAGACAAAAGAGTTAGTCAAACAAGAAAATGGTTTTAAAAAACGAAATATGTGCAACTTTTTCAGAAGGGTGATAAAGGCTTGATCCATCAAATCTTTGGATTTGAATGGTCATAAATGCACTTCCATTTTCCGAGATATCTACCACTGGAAATTTTAGATATAAAAGAGAACAAACAAGATCAACCATATCACACAAAAACAACACAATTCATAGAAACCAAAGAGAGAGAATGCCTTTAATCATTGAGATTATGCAGATTGATTCCAAGCTTCATGCTCACCAAGAACAAAGGAAGAACATGAACCATTA